ATTTGTGATAATATATTATTGTTACTTGTTTCAACAACTATTATGACACGGAGAATAATAGTCCTTCACGTTTCAATACTGATGGTGGAAACATCTGCAAATACATTTTAACTCTCAAGTTAAAGGAGAGTTTAAATTTAGTATGTGATTAGATAGCTAATGCCTTTAAATAAGTGTTTAATTCTTATCATTAAGTCAAAGATTTAGTTACTTGAACAATAAAATATTTTATCTATTAAATAAGGATAATGTGCTTGATTATTATAATAAAATATCTTTGAGATACTCATGTAAAAATATTTTGTTGGTTGTTAGGAATTAACCACTCAAAATTAAGATAAGTATTAGTTGTTATAATATTTTAAATTAATTTTTAAATTAACCTTTTTTTTCTACTTAATCATTTTCTATCTAAATAAACTATTTTTCAAAATTAATCTTTTCTGAATAAAATTAATTATTTTTAACTTAATTATTTTTAACACAATTTTTCTCAACTTAGAATCATGAGATAGACAAATATGGCCCTTGAACCTCGAAATCCCATTACCTCCCTACTCAAAACCCATAACCATTTTGGTATCAAGCAAACCGAAGATCTACAACAACTCTTGATCTTGTAACTATTTCACCCCAATCTATTTCAAGAACTCATTAGTTATGGTAGTTATCCCATAATTAATGTGATCTTGAGCTAGCTCCACCTCTAAATTTATATCTCTAAATCGCTTAGCCAACTCCAACACTTTCACCATCATCGCCACCATGTGGATGAGTTTACTACTCAAAGCATCAACTACCATATTTGACAATGATACATCAACTAGAAGTCGAAGTCCTTCAGAATATTCATCCACCTCCACTGCCTTATGTTTAGTTCTTTCTAATTAAACAAGTAATTCAAACATACTGAACCTCACACCATACAGATAATACCTCCACGACTTCAAGGCAAATACCATTGTTGCTAACTCCAAGTCATAAGAGGGGTAGATCCTCTCATGAGTCTTAAGTTATCTTGAAGCATACATTATAACTCTCGCAGCTTGCATCAATACACAACCTAACCCCTAGTAAGAAACATCACAAAACACTTCAAAAGGTTAGCCAAAGTTGGGTAACACCAAAATGGGAGAAGTAGTTAACTTTTTCTTCAACTCTTGAAAACTTTACTCACACGCATCCATCCAAATGAAGGGAAATCCTTCTGGATAAGTGGAGTTAGAGGCATCGCTATTTTGGAGAAATCCCATATAAATCTCCTATAGTAACCCACCAACCCAACAAAGCTTCTGATCTCAAATGCATTCCCCAACTTCTCCCATTGTAACATTGCTTTAACCTTGGTTGGGCTCATTACAATCCCTTGAACTGAGATCACACGACCCAAAAACATCACCTCAAACAACCATAACTCACACTTGGTGAGCTTCACATATAACTATTTCTCCCTCAGCACCTCCAAAACCAACCTCAGATGCTCACGGTGATTCTTTAAAGACTTCGATTAGACTAAGATGTCGTCAATAAACACCATCACAAATCTATCCAAAAAAGGTCAAAAGAACGTGTTCATGTAATCCATGAACATCATCAGAGCATTACAACATACTCATCGTGACCATGCATAGTCTTAAAATCAGTCTTCAATATGTCACTCTCCTTCACTTTTATTTGGCGATAACTAGATCTTAGATTTATCTTTGAAAATACCAATGCTCCTCTGAGATGATCCATCTAGTCATTTATTTGAGGTAGAGAATATTTGTTCTCAATGGTCAACTTACTGAGTTGTCGATAATCCACACACAAATAGGTATCATCATCCTTCTTTTTAACCAACAACGTTGAAGCATTCTAAGGAAACACACTTGGTCTCACCATCTAGTTTTCCAACAGCCCTTCCACTTGTTTTTTCAACTCTACCAACTTAGTTGGGGCCATCTTGTAAGAAGCTATTGATACTGGCCTAACACCTGCACCAGATTAATATTGAACTCTATGTCCCTCATAAGAGCTAACCTAGGCACCACATTTCGAAACACCTTTAAGAACTCCCTCACCACATCAATCTCACTGATCACTTTCTCAGTCTCCACACTCATAATAGTAGACAACATGAAGCACTCAGCTCCTCCCCTTAACGACTCTTCAGCTTGGCTAGCTGAAACCAACACATCATCTTTCACTAGAGGAAACACTAACTCTCTTCAAGCATAATCTATAAGGATGTGATTGGAAGATAACCAATCTATCCCTAAGATTATGTTGATCTTCACCATGGGCAAATAGATCAATTTCACCTTGAACTCCCTACCAACACCTCTATAGGTTACCTAACACACATCTCCTACATCACAACAAAAGTAGTAGTTAGAGTAGGAACACACTAGATCAACATGCAAAGCAAATACAAGTATTCCTAACCTCCCCACATAAGCAACAAAGATAAAGGAATGTGTAGCTTCTGAGTCAAACAAATACATAACATCTTTACCAATCGCCTTGCCCTTTCCCTTCATCGAGTCTAATAAAGTAGACGCCTTTACACTAGATAGAGCAAAAACCCTCCCAGAAGATGTAGGCCTAGTTGGCCTTGGAGCACTCCTTGCTTGAATTGATCTTGCTTGAAAATCCTTGGAAATGTGGCTTAAGGTGACACACTTGTAGCACAGATTGCTTGGGTGAGAATAATCCCAAGCAAAGTTGGATCCTCCACATTTGAAACGTCTCATTACCTAAACTCTTTTCTAAGGAGTAGCAAGCTAAGGTCCCCTAGTGACAGTACCTCCCTATTGCTAAGCAAGTCTATCATAAGACCCCCTCTACTAACCACCACTCTTGGATTTTAATGATCCATTATGATGTTTGGTAGCATTGCTACCACCACCATCCTTCAACCTCTCCACTATCTTCACAATTCTCAACCAAGGCCAAAAACTTTACTATCGACATGGGAACCACAATCCTCTTCAGCTCATGCCTTAACCCCTCTATAAACTTTCAACACTTCCAAGCCTCAAAGATAACCTAGGTGTAGAAATGAGCCATATACTTAAACCTCATTGCATACTTTGACATCGTCATACACCCCTAATGTAACTGCATGAACTTTGCCTCCCGAGCATGTCTCGCACTCTTTGAGAAATAATTCTCAAGAATGATCCTCTTGAAGCAATCCTAGTCCACTACCAAACCTCTGGCCACCAACAATTGATGGGTACCCCTCCATCAGTACTCAGCTTCCCTAACCAACATGTAGGTAACCTATGCCAACTTCATCTCAATTGTACACCCAAGCATCAAGAATATATTCTCTTTCCATAAATCTAATTGTTAGATAGAGGAGAGTTTCATTCTCTCATTTGACTCACAAATTTGGATTGAGAGAGAAGTCATGGAATCAAGATTCTCCCCGTTACTAGATCAAGATTGTGGAATGACTAAATGATTCTTCTATAATCCACACTTTCTAATATCTTAATTAAGTAATTTATATGATATGAACATAGTATAATCATGCATCATTGTATTTTATTAAATTTGTAGAGATCTCACAAATTAATAAAGAATAACACACTTTTGTGTTATTTATCTACCATTGTTTATTAACTAATGACCTTGTGTTGAGATTTAAAAAATGACCTTGGTCAAGAGTTATGGGAATTCTTGTGATTCAAAGTGAACATCAAATCCATCGAGTATTAAAGCTTAACATTAAGTCGAGAGAATTTGCCTCTGCATCTAATCAAAGGCAACATGTACAATGTTTTCAATATAACTGAATTCAAATTATTAGATAGATTTACTTGACAATATGTTTTTGATCATTAAAAAAAATAACTTGACAATTTGTTTTGCTTTTTTTCCTTATTATCCATGACATCTCTAACTTTTTTATCCCTTTTCATCTCTTTCTTCCTTTGGGGGTAAAGTTTTATTTTTCGATCCTTTTCAATAGTACATAAAATATGTTATTAGGACGAACCAAGGGATCAAAAGTTACAGCATTAGGATGGCAAACATTATCCGCCATTTCTAAAAGCAAGGCCTCTGCTTCATCTAACCACCTCTCTTCGGAGCCCATTGATCATAATGTTATAAGGCAGACCATTTGTACGACAGCCTTTCACAGAAAGAAGCTGAAAAATCTTTCACAGCCATCACTCTTCCACCTTTGCAATAAGTGCGCATATTTAGAGAAATCCCCATTTCAACAATGTGGCAAAACACCACAATTGCCTTGTCAAAGCACTCTGTTTGAGATAACCATCCAACAACACATTGTAAGTGATCAAATCCGGTGCCTGACTACTCGCGCACATCGCCTCAATATGGTCTCCCTCATACAAAATCCTCCTAGATTTCGACAAACCAAGAAGAGAATTATAAGTCATAGTATCTGGAACCAAATTCCTCCGATCCATTTCCATAAACAGCATCAAGGCCTCATCCACCATCTTAACCTTACAATACCCATTAATCAAGGCCTTGTAACTGATAACATTAGACAGCATTCCTCTTTCAATCATTCTATCAAACACCTCTTTCACCTAGCACAAATTGCCCCTCAAACACCCACCATTCATCAAAGCGTTGTACCTAACAACAAGAGGCTCCAAGCCTCTGTTAATCATCACACCAAACACATCCTCGCCTCCGCAACCATCCCCAACTTACACAACGAATCAACCAATATATTAAAGGTTTACTATGTTCAAATGCCAATAAATTATCTTAGAGATATAGCAAAATAATCCTTCTCATCTAACATAGGTAACAATAACATATATGAAGCCAACCACATGTCGTACAGAAAATCGCACCTATGTCCCAATAACCTGTGTATTATTCAAATCTGCATCTATTCCCATGTAAATTGTTTCCAATGTTATTACTGAGTTTTATATAAACCAAAGGCATGTTTATCCTTCGAAAAATACACAGGACAAATGAGAACAAAAAGACAATCTCATAAAAGACTTGCCAACTCTACCAAGAAAACCAAAGAACACACACTGAATAAAAATTGAAAAAGAAAAGCGCCTAAGTTATACCTATTTACGGGAATTTCCATTGCGAAGAATAAAGCTTTCTCCATATAGAACATTTCTCTTCATGATTCAACAATAGCAACAATAACATTCAGAGAAACTAGTTCCAAAAAGAACCTAAAATCTAACCAACATACTAGGGGCAGGTTTCAATAGCAACAAGGCATTAACAAAAGAATTAATCATTCACTCACTCACTCATTTATTCATCACTGTACAAGGACGAGTCTACCACCCATACCTCTATCACCATCCCCATCGCCTTCCTCGTGCCCCTTCGGCACCGTGACAATAAGCTCGCCGTCGACGAACACCGCGCTCGCGAGCTCCGGCCGCGTGGATTCCGGCAACCGGAACCTCCACATGTCAAGTTCGAGCTGATCCAGCGAGAGCTCCACCGAGCCGCCTTCCCTCACCACGATCTTGGTCACGCCGGGGTGGATTTCCACCGTGTGCGCCCTCACGTCGCCGATTCCATCGGTCTCTGCCACGAAGCGGAAGCAGTCGGCGGCCTCCTCCACCGCCACGTCGGCGTCGGAGCGGAAGGGGAGCTCCAGGACGCAGCTGAACACGTGCGGGAGTCGCCGGAGCTTCTTGCCGGCGATCCCCAACAGCGCCTGAGCCTCCGACATGGGGTTCCCTCCATCGACGCCGAATTGGATTGAGATGTTGCGCTTTCTTGGTACAGGGTGGACCTTCATGATGTTGCCTTGGACCGAGGCTGCAGAGGATTGCACCACCAATATTAACACCGCGATGATTATCGAAGGTGCCTTCTCTATCATAAAGGAACGCTTCTTCTTCTTCTTCTTCTTCTTCTTCTCTTCTTCGTACTTTTTCTCCCCCTTTCTTTTCTGGGCGAAGATAATTGAACCCTAACCCTAATTTCCTTTCAATTTGCACCCGCGACGAGATGTGTTTCGAATGGGAAAGGATGAATTCTTTTTCTTTATGTATTTATTCGAATTTAGGATATGCCAATTGTGTGAGCTCAAGAGAAGAAGAAGAACAAGTTAAATAAATAAATAAAGAAAACGATGATTTGGATTTGATGTTACTGTGTTGCCCCTTCTGCTTCTTTCAATTTACTAATTTTGTCTCCCCTCAATTATTAACAATTATTAATTATAAAAAAAAAAAAAAAAAAAAAAAAAAAAAAAAAAAAAAAAAAAAAAAAAAAAAAAAAAAAAAAAAAAAAAAAAAAAAAAAAAGGAAACTACTAACCATTCCATTATAAAATCGGACATGCCGACCTTTAAAAAAAGATGTCGATCTTATTTGCTTCATACAATTAAGCTCGAATATATGTCAAACCACATTATTAGAACAACTTCACATAAGATGCATAAAAACTTTATAAATGATTATAAATGTTCACAATGGAATGTAGCGCTTAGTAACAAGTAAAGATAATTGACTAAATATTTAAATAACTGACTTATTTAATTTTTAGAGTCTCTTTTATATGTATACATAACTTCTTTATGTAAAATTTCATAGATCCAATAGTTCATACGTATATTAAAGATCGAAGATAAAAATTTTAGGAAAAAAAAAGTCAAAGTAGAGTCAAATATCTCTCATTTTTAATAAGAACAAAAATTATTGAACAAAACTTAAAACTTTAACTCAATTAGTTAACATTTTCTCCATTTTTTTTTTCATTACTATCTCTCATTTGTTGTACAGATGCAATTGAGTTGTATGATGTATATGCCATGTTGTAGTTGTGCAATTTATATGATAAGTTGTGTATGTGATGCGTTGATGTTTTATGTTGTTCAAATACTAAGTTGAATTGTGATTTGTCATATTGTTGTGTTGTTCAAGTTAAAGAACATGTAATATTATAGGTAGAGGATTTCATATTAGTATCTAACCTCATTGTATCTGTTGTGTTCTATAAATTATTTTTTGTTAAATGTAAGTACACGTTCTAATAACAAAACAACTTTACTTTATTTATTTATTTTGAAACCAAATTTGTTTTTGTTAAGAAATGTGTTTTAATTATCTTGACTTAAAACAATGTTTATTTTGACCAATATTTCAAATCAAGTAAGGTCATAAATTTACAAGTATTTTTTCATTTATCATGAATTTATAACTTTATTTAATTATCAAATCCAAATTTAGATTATTAATATCAATTATGAAAATAAAAGTTACGGTGTTTTAATTGACATATATTAGTTATTTTGGCATATCATGTGAATGAACTAATGGGTCAAGTCATCACTTGGTGGCTATAAAATTCTCATTAGAAAAATCTTTGAGACACAATATTGTTATGAACAACCTAATTGTTAGATAGAGAAGAGTTTCCCTCATTTATTTGTTCACAAATTTGGATTGGTGGAGAAGTAATGCAAACAAGATTCTTTGTGTTACTAGATCAAGATTGTGGAATGACTAAATGATTCTTCTATAATCCGCACATTATAATATCTTATTTGATTAATTTGTATGATATGAACATATCATAATCATGCATCATTATATTTTATTAAATTTGTAGAGATCTCACAAATTAATAAAGAATAACACATTTTTGTGTTATTTATCTACCGTTATGTATTAACTAATGGTCTTGTGTTAAGATGTAAAAATTGACTGTAGTCAAGGAGTTATGAGAATTCTTGTGATTCGAAGTGCACATCAAATCCATTAAGTATTAAAGTTTAACATTAAGTTGAGAGAATTTGCCTCTAAGTGTAGTCAAAGACATGTACAATATTTTCAATATAACTCAATCCAAATTATTAGATAGATTTACTTGACAACATGTTTTTCATCATTAAAAAAATGACAATATGTTTTATTTGTTTTTTTTCCTTATTATCCATGACATCTCTAACTTTTTATCCCTTTTCATCTCTTTCTTCCTTTAAGGGTAAAGTTTTAGTACATAAAATATGTTATTAATTTATCTTTCTTTAGTCTCAAAAAATGATTAGAAGGAGCAAAAAAGATCCTATAAAGTATTTAGGTTTTGTTTCTTGTGTCATGCATAAAGATAAAGGATGAACAAAGTTGTCGTGAACCTTCCAAGTTCCTAAAATGAGAGTAAAAAGGACATTTTCTTTTATTCTTGCAACGACTTTAATTAGTACATATATTGTAACGACTCGTAATAGTCACTATACTATACGAAATCATTACAAATAACAAAAAATTAAAGACATAACATTTTAACATACCAAAAGAAACGATATATACATGCATACATGAGTATATGAGTATAACACCTGTACTGATATAAACAATATATGAACATAAATATATAGTAATTCGAAAAGTAAACTCCACATCCTAGCCTCAATCAAGTACAATTACACAAGCTACACCAAGTTAGTATCAACACCAAGCAAAATAACATCACCTGCCAACCAACAATTCCTCAAGCCTAACATTGATCTGCTCTCATATAATGTATGCTCATAACAGTCAAACCACATGAAAAATAAGAGGGTAAGTTAGAGTTCCAAAAACATGTAAGCATAAAAATTAGTTCCATATCATACAACATATCATACTCTTACTTGAAACTACACATACAAGTCATCAAACATCTCACTCAACATGTCAGCAAGACACCCAAACTATACATATGAACACACACCACACCATATCATCACATGCATACACTTTGACTAATACGTTGTCACGCATTCACCTATAGAGATCTATAATAAGATTAGCAATTTAAGTGACTCAACCCTATCACTCAAATACACCAACATGATCACAACAAAATGGGATATCAATCTTTCCTTTGGTTTCTTGAGCTTTATCACTTACACTAGAAAAGTTCAATTCCATTGTTAAGAATAGTAAAACTATGTATAGTTTTACCATGACTTTGATATGCATTACCAAGTCACTTATTAAACTCACCCACTGATTATCTTCAAGAAACCATGCAACCTTTTCAAGTACGTGTTTAAGGCTTGTAACCCTCAATCTCTTAACTTACTCAACTACTAACTAAGGATCTAGAAGAGATCAACAACAACATCATATATATGCATGGCATACATATGCTCATCATTACCCAACATCATACAAACATGTACATATGACATATCCAATCAACATACACAGAACTACAATTTTCAAACTTCATACAACATGCAATAGAACTCATACATCTATCCATGTTCCTCATACAACATTCCAAAACATACATATCATTACAAATCTATCAATCATTCATCCTAACTTCCTTTACCTCCAAAACTAAGCTATATATGAGGGAAGAAAAAAAGGAAGAGAGGTGAAGAACCCTGGAACTCTTGTAGCTGCACTACAACTCTTCTTGTTTCTTGTTAGACTGATTATACCCTTCCCTTCGTGCCCCTCACCCGAGGTCACCAGTTGTCCATTCAACCCGATCGGGGAATAAGCCAAAGGACAACCAAGACCATCCTTTGTCAAACTCTACAAACCTCCACCACTATCAATTCTTTCTTACTATCAATTCTTTCTTACTTAAGTGAGTCTAGAAGAAGAAAGAATGGAATTTAGGAAAGATTCAATATGCCCGGTATTACATATATGGTGATATATATGTTCATTAAACTTACGTTTAGATGGGTATTTTGATTATGGACATGAACAAAAGTTATTCCTTTATGGAATGTAACCATAGTTGTGCAATATTTCTTTATAAAAATACAAAGGTAAAAAATCATTGGTTCTTTTAATTTTTTCTTTTGTCAATTTCTGATTCATCTTTCTTTAAATTTCAGAATGATTGTAGACACTTGCTTTTACCTAAAAAGTAAAAAAGAAGTAAGGTAATCATTTGGAAATTCACAACTTAAAATTGTTGGAATGAGATTTGCTGCAGTTGAAAATGTAAAGTGCTTTAAATCTTCACCTTGGAAAAGTTAGTAAAATATAAATTTAAAAAATTAAATCTTCACCTTGTGAGTGCAGGACATCTGAGCACAAAATTATTGTGTCCGTAACTTATAAGGCCACGTGGACGTGGGTTAATTATAGTGGTGTTTACAAGTGTGTGCTAATACATTTGTGGTAATGAGAAGAAAAGAGAAATAGTATTTGTATAATAACTTTTTTATATAAAAAAATTTGAGATATAATAAATAATTTGGTGGAAGAAGATAAACACAAAATGTATAAATTCTATATATAAAAAAAAAAGTGGGATGTTTTTCAAAATTAGCTAGAAATTATTGGTCTTGAACGCTTCTCAAAATCTTCTTCATTTGTGTTGACTTTTCTCTACCATTGTTCTTCAGGTTGGCTGATTTGATTATCATTTCCAAGCTTGTATAATTCTAAGAAAATAGTGGATAAAGGTATTTTATGGCATTTTTTAATTTGAATTTTTTGCTTTTGTTATTGACTCTTGTGAATGACCATTTGATGTTATAAAATAATAATTTTGGTTAAGAAATTATTATTTATCTTGTAAAAATGTTGCCAACATACTTTTCTATTAGTTTTATTGTAATTACTTATTTTTTAAAATTAATAAAAATTATTTATCGTTTCTTTAATTCGTGTCCTGAAGACACTAGTTATTAAGATCCATAAAAAAAAAAATTCAAATCTAATGTTTCAAAAACTACTAATGAGTGTTAAGTATTAGTCAAAGAACATTAAGTATATTTTATTAAATGTTTCTTTTAATTATTTTGAAAGCAAGTATTAACTCTACTACATGGGGGGAGGGGGTTCATAATTAATATTGTTTAAAGAGCGAAAAACATATTCTTCTTCCATTATAAAACAAGTGTTGGTTCAGAAAAATATTTATTGTTCTAAATTATTTGTTAATTTATAATATTAATAAAATATTTTTTTTTTCTAACTTTGTCCTTCCTCACGCAATAATTATTTTGTTTTTAGAGATAAAGTTCGTACAAATAGCTTATACCATTAACTATACTTTGATACAAATTATTTAAATATTTAATATAAACCAATCTAGTAAATTATTTAAAATTAATATTTCAAAAAAAAAAATTTGTTATCATTGAGAGCTTGGCAAATTTGGCGTA